CTGTACCGGGGTTACCGGGGCAGTGAAGCTGTGAGTCACACCTCCGCTATGTCCACTTCCACCGGGTCCTACAAAAAATGCAGTGGCAGGTGTCGGTGCCGGCGGTCCATGTGGTCCTTCAGAATCTGTGGCGGGTCTGCGAGAGCAACCAGGCGTTGGAGGGGGTGGTCCGCGAGAGACAACAGGCGTTGGAGGTGGTGGTCCCCTCGGAGCGCTGGTGCCACTGCCAGTGCCCGGCGGCCCACCGGTCTCCTCATCAGTGGATCGAAGGAGGTCTTCGTCGGAGTCATCAGAGGACAGGGTCGGGTGCGGCTTGGCACTGGCTGGCTTGGCACTGGCTGGCTTGGCACTGGCTTTGACCGCTGACCGGCGCGGGGTGCGGGAAGCAGAGCGGTCACGAGGCATTTTCTTGGGCTTGGGCCCCATGTTGATCCCTAAAGCCTGGGAGCCTGGGAGCCTATGAGCCTATAATACATGTTAGACTGAGCTTTGACATGTTGCAGCCTGGCAGCCTGGGAGCCTACTATTATATGACATGTTAGACTGAGCTTTGACATGTTGGAGCCTGGCAGCCTGTCGGAGCCTTGGAGCCACTACCTAGTCTGACCTAGTCGTGATGCATCCACTTTCCAGGAAAGCGGGGCTCGTCAGAACAGCTAATGTCTGCAGCACAGCAAGGTATCGCTTGATTGAATGTGCAGTCCCATGCATGCAGGTCTACAGCGGCAGTTAAGATCAATCGGAAGCATGCAGCCCCACCTCTGCGGCGAGATCCGTCGAAGGCGGAGCCACCATCGCCTCACATCGGGAACACCCGGCAGAATTACTGCATGTGTGAGTGCCCAGCAGCACCTGTGCACTGACATTCGCCGAAGGAGGCACAACCTGGCTCCGGGTAAGGGCCATGCACAAATCACAGCTATATAGAGTGTCCAACAATTCGCAAGTCGCAGGCCTGTGCATGGACATTCGTGGAAGGCACCACCATCGCCTCGACACGGGAATGACCATGCACGAATGACAGTGCCCATATAATATATATATATATATATATATATATATATATATATATATATATATATATACTGCACAATAAATCGCAGACCTGTGCAGGTGCATCCGGAGAAGGCTCCACCATAGCCTCCAAGCAGGCAGGATCGGCCATACAATGGCAGTGCCCTTTATATTTCTAACATATATATATATATATATATATATATATATATATATTATATAATTTAATTAATTTATTATATATATATAATATAATATATATATATATATATATATATATAATTATATATTAAATTAAAATTTAATATACTGCACAAGTCGCGGGTCGGCCTTTTCAGGGACACCCAGACGTGGATCCAGCATGGCCTGGATGTCGCGACGAATACCCACACATCTAAATAAGTCAATAAGCAGGAGCCACACCTCTGCGGGGATCATCGCCAGAGCTGGCGGCACCGAAGCCTCGCATTAAAGGAATCAGAGATGACTGAATGGCACATGCCGAGCACGCTCCGGCCTCTCCATTCTGGATCTCTGTCGACTGCAGGACCTGAATCAACAACAACCGGAAGCCAAAGCGAAGACAACCATGCACGTCCGGCCCACCTTAAGTCGATGAAGACCCAGTGGCCGCTCCTCGCCAAGTAGTAGTCTTAGTAGTAGTAGTAGTAGTAGTAGTAGTAGTAGTAGTAGTAGTAGTAGTAGTAGTAGTAGTAGTAGTGGTAGTAGTAGTAGTAGCAGTAGTAGTAGTAGTAAGTAGTAGTAGTAGTAGTAGTAGTAGTAGTAGTAGTAGTAGTAGTAGTAGTAGTAGTAGTAGTAGTAGTAGTAGTAGTAGTAGTAGTAGTAGTAGTAGTAATAGTAAGTGTAGTAGTAGTAGTAGTAGTAGTAGTAGTTAGTATTAATATTTAAATTAGTAGTAGTAGTAGTAGTAGTAGTAGTAGTAGTAGTAGTAGTAGTAGTAGTAGTAGTAGTAGTAGTAGTAGTAGTAGTAGTAGTAGTAGTAGTAGTAGTAGTAGTAGTAGTAGTAGTAGTAGTAGTAGTAGTTCGTATTAGCAGTAGTAGTAGTAGTAGTGTAAGTAGTAGTGTAAGTAGTAGTAGTAGTAGTAGTAGTAGTAGTAGTAGTAGTAGTAGTAGTAGTAGTAGTAGTAGTAGTAGTAGTAGTTCGTATTAGCAGTAGTAGTAAGTAGTAGTAGTAGTAGTAGTAGTAGTAGTAGTAGTAGTAGTAGTAGTAGTAGTAGTAGTAGTAGTAGTAGTAGTAGTAGTAGTAGTAGTAGTAACACAGTAGTAGTAGTAGTAGTAGTAGTAGTAGTAGTAGTAGTAGTAGTAGTAGTAGTAGTAGTAGTAGTAGTAGTAGTAGTAGTAGTAGTAGTAGTAGTAGTAGTAGTAGTATAGTAGTATTAGTAGTAGTAAAGTAGTAGCAGTAGCAGTAGCAGTAGCAGTAGCAGTAGCAGTAGCAATAGCAGTAGTAGTAGTAGTAGTAGTAGTAGTAGTAGTAGTAGTAGTAGTAGTAGTAGTAGTAGTAGTAGTAGTAGTATTAAATAATAATAATAATATTAATAATACTAATAATAATAACAATAATAATAATAAATAATAATAATAATTTTAATAATAATAATAATAATAATAATAATAATAATAATAATAATAAAATATAAATTAGTAGTCAGTAGTAGTAGTAGTAGTAGTAGTAGTAGTAGTAGTAGTAGTAGTAGTAGTAGTAGTAGTAGTAGTAGTAGTAGTAGTAGTCGTAAACCTTAAACCCTACTCGGTCCTGGTCTTGGCTTGGCCGTCCAGCTGCGCCGTTGTCAGGCGTCGAGGATGGTTCTCGCCCCGCTCCTAGTGCTTTGGGCTTTAGGCTGAAGGCCTTTAAGGATGGACTACGCATTGGCATATTGCCTCGGAACCTGGGGGCCTGGCTGCTCGTACCGAAGAGCCTTGGAGCCTTGGAGCCTGTCAACGAAGAGCTTGCATCGCAAACCAGGCAACATTCCCTGTTCATTCCGGCAGCCGTGGAGCCCTGGAGCCCGGAACCCTTGCATTTCAACCACAGTTAGGCTTGGCCCGGAGCCAGAGGCCAAGGAGGTTGGAGCCTTGGAGCTTGGGAGCCTTGCTTCACATTTCGACCACAGTCAGGCTTGGCCCGGAGCCAGAGGTCAAGGAGGGTCACCATCTTCAGGTAGGGAGCTTGGAGCCTTGCTTTACATTTCGACCACAGCTAGGCGGCTTGGGGCTCCGCAAACGCCAAGAAGGGTCCCCCTTTTCATTTCGGTAGCCTTGGAGCCTTGGAGCATTGCCTTACATTTCGACCACAGTTAGGCTTGGCCCGGAGCCAGAGGCCAAGGAGGGTCCCCCTTTTCATTTCTACATTTGGACCGGGAGCCAAAGGCAAGCAGGGTCCCACTTTCTGGAGCCTTGGAGCCTTTTGGCGCAAAGCCAGCTTGGAGCCTTGCCTTGCGAGCCTTGGAGCCTGGCTTGGCCCCTTCATTTTGACCACAGTTAGGCTTGGCCCGGAGCCAGAGGCCCCCCTTTTCATTTCTTGGAGCCTTGGAGCCTGGGAGCCTTGCTTTACATTTGGACCGGTAGCCAAAGGCAAGCAGGGTCCCACTTTCTGGAGCCTTGGAGCTTTTTGGCGCAAAGCCAGCTTGGAGCCTTGCCTTGCGAGCCTTGGAGCCTTGCTTGGCACCCTTTCGTCATGTTGACCACAGTTAGGCTTGGCCCGGAGCCAGAGGCCAAGGAGGGTCCCCCTTTTCATTTCCGGAGCCTTGCAGCCTGGGAGCCTTGCTTTAGAGCCAAAGGCAAGCAGGGTCCCACTTTCTGGAGCCTTGGAGCCAAAGCCAGCTTGGAGCCTTGCCTTGCGAGCCTTGGAGCCTTGCTTGGCCCCCTTCATTTTGACCACAGTTAGGCTTGGCCCGGAGCCAGAGGCCAAGGAGGGGGCCCCTTTCATTTTGACCACAGTTAGGCTTGGCCCGGAGCCAGAGGCCAAGGAGGGTCCCCCTTTCATTTTGACCACAGTTAGGCTTGGCACGGGGCCAGAGGCCAAGGAGGGTCCCCCTTTCATTTTGACCACAGTTAGGCTTGGCCCGGAGCCAGAGGCCACGGAGGGTCCCCCGTTGAAGAAAAAACATTTCGACCACAGTTAGGCTTGGCCGGGAGCCAGAGGCAGGGTCCCCCTTTTCATTTCACAGCCTTGGAGCCTTGGAGCCTGCATCTTGACTCTCTTTCGCTGAAAGAGGGTCTCATTCTAGTCAGGTTCTTCACTCAGCATGCCTGGTCGTACCGAGCTGTCTGCAGCGAGGCAGATTCAAGGCCAGAAGCAGTAGAACACAAACGTACATGAGGGCAGGGTGCTTTGAAACTAAACCTTGTGGCCTTGACGACGATGGGTCGATGTCGATGCGGTCCCTCGCAGCATCGAATCATCCTGGCGACAGCCAAGATCCGCTGTCAAATTAATTAAACTTGACTGTCCAACGCAGCACGGGTCCTGACAGCTTCCTTGGCGCTGCGGCCGTGGACCACGCTTGCCCATCTCCCTGCCTGCAAAGAACGACATGTGAACCAGGTTACATGTGGAATTTGGGTGCGTTCACATGACTCACGACACTGGCCTCTGCTTTTTCGGACAACCCCCGCGCTGAGAATTAAAATAATTGAATTAGGGATCCCAGCCAGTCTTGCGCCAGACCTTGGAGCCTGGGAACCTGGTAGCCGCGACACGCCCTGCAAACAGCTTGTCACGACGCACTTCACCACTTCGGCAAGATGCAACGCACGGCACTGTGCGGAATCGGTTACAACGAGGAAACTCACTGCATCTCACATTGCATGCAATCTTGCCCCCATGCTCGGATATGCTGCTAACTGAACACACGAAGGCTATGAAAGTCACACCCTACTAACTAACCCTGAAACCCTTTAACCGACTCTAAACACACGTTAAACCATACGAGCCATCATCAAATAAAAATGGAGGCTCAGTCGAGTCATTTCTGATTCAGACAGAGCTCCGGCCACCGCCGCTTTCCGGGGTCTGGAGCACAGCCGACCAACACAAACAGCCCCCATTTACCGGCTCGAAGCACCTTTGTGCAGCACGTGTGACTTGCAGCGGGGCAATTGGCTAAGTCGCTGCGTGTTTTCCACAGCTCGGGCCACTGCTTGCACCACGCTCTCAGTCCGGCCTCCCCCTTGGGCATGAAGGGATTCCCGGTCTCCACCTCAAACACCACGCAAGCATAGGCCCACATATCCACAGCTGCAGTCAGCAGCTGCTTTCTGACACCGCAGTCTCCATCGCCATTCACACGAGCGGGCCACAGCTCCGGAGGTCGATAGGCAGCCGTGACATACTGCAGGAACCTGGGAGCCTGAGAAGCCTTCTGGAGCCGTGCCATGTTCTCACTCATGCCGAAGTCGCACACCTGCACCTGATCTGTGCAAGGGCACCAAAGAACATTGCCAGGTTTCACATCCAAGTGTAGGATGCCTGCGTCATGCAAGGTCTGCAGTGCACTTCTCAGCTGAGCTGCCACAGACCACGTCCTCGGCTTGCCATGCGCCGCAGGATTTCGAAGTGCGGTTGCCAGGCTGGGCCCACATAGGCTAGTAGCCATCCATGGCCAAGGTCTGCCCGTGACACCCGAGCTGACAAGAAGCGGGAACCACATCATCTTCTGCTGCGGAACGGCCTTCATTAGAAGCTTCATCTGCTCCACTTCGTGCCTGCAATCCGCGGGGCCATCGGAGCCACGATAAACCTTCACCGCCACGTTAAGGCCGCTTTGCGGATGCTGGCAACTGTAGACACTGCCATAGGCTCCGCCTCCAATTGGAGCCCTTGCACCATTAAGCTCAAATGGGCCAACGCGACCGCCAGATTCGTCAGCGGCAGGGGGGTCCTTCGCCTCGTCGGGGCCGCCCGCACTGGTCGTGGAGCCCCGCATCCTGATGCCAAGAACGGCCAGTGCACTTCGCTGAGCCATGAACTCATCTTTGCTCCTCGCCATGAATGGTGCCTTCTGCTTGTCGGTCATGCCCTGCCAGACTGCGCCAAGATGCTTCATCTCATTGAGAAACTCGTGCTTGGGAGCGCCTTTCTTGACTTCGGAGTTTTCCTGGAGCCAGATGACGAAGGCCCTTCGAGCCTTGGGGACCAAGCCGTCTTTCACAGCCTGCTTCCGCAAGCTCTGCGATTTGCTGCCACCATGCTGGCACCCCCGGGGCATCCGACGAGAAGCCGTCTTGAGACTGGTTTTGCCCCAGAGGCGTCTGGTAGGCCTCCATCGGCAGCCCATGTCGAACCCAAGCAGGGAACCTCAGAGCCTGGGAACCTGGGGCCATAACGGCTCGCTTTAATGCATTCAGGCGACTACAACAACATCCTCGGCGAGTCCTATTTCAATGTCATGCCACAATAAGAGCATTTCGGCTTTTTCAGGCGACAGTAGTCACTGCTACACACTACTGACAAAACTGAGCCCGGCAAAAGGTCAAGAGCCTGAGAACCTGGGAGCCTAGGTGCCTGAGCTGGTGCCTGAGCTGGCGGATTCGGTCGAAGTGAAACATCATCACTGCGGTTGATCGCGGGGGCTATCTGGCTCAGCAGGTGCCTCGTCCTGGTCGTCTTGGTTGGACAAGCTCTCCAGAACGTGCGGGAAATGCTTCTTCACCGCCTTGGCATTCTCGTCCGAGTAAAGAGTGGATCCCTCCAAAGCCATCATTCCGCAAGCTGCGCGATCAGCAACCGCCTGGACCCACGACATGTGCTCCTTGTTGAGGCCTCGGATAATTTAAATAAAATCAAATGACAATGATCTGACGAATCTACTGGACAAGTAAGGGTGCTGCAAAGCCCGTGGTATGCGATGCCGGCAGTCAAAGAAGCCTCCATCAGAGCACCGGTGCCAGCCGTGAGGTCAAACACTGCCTCCGCGCAAAACTCCTCAATGATGGCATTCCAATATGCTATCGGCTTCGACTCGTTCCAGAACAAGGGTACGTCGGAGCCGTGGCGATCCTGCCAGTCCTCTGGCGGTGTCGGGAGGTCGCCGGTTGTTGCCGGAGCAATGATCTTCTTCTTGGTGTCTGCAGACACGAGGGGCATTTCAGAAACCGCACGGTACTCCACGCCTGAGTAAGTGCCTTGGTACGTAGAAGCCTCGCCGCAGACTGTGAAGGAGCCTTTCTTCGTCGTCTGAATCTTGGTGCGTGCGACCGGGAACTTAACCGCTCCTGTCTCCACCTTCTTTGCAGCCAGCGGAACGCGGCGAGTGCGACCAGTTCTCGGCGGGCACCCACCTGAGTACACGATGGTGCACTCCTCGGTGTGCTGCTGGTTCAGCAGGAGGTCTTCCTTAAAGAACCAGGTGCAGCCTTTGAGCCTTGGAGCCTGGGAGCCTTGTCACATCACCCCGCCAAGACTCGGACACGCGGCGAATTTCCCGCATTCTGCCGTCGAAGAGTACAACGAAATCCTCGGGCCCAGAAATGTCTTTGGCAAAGGCACAGATCTCTTTCCATTCCTCGCTTTGCGGAGTGCCCTTGAGCCACGGGTCGGTACCAGCCTCTGCCAAGAGATCCGCACTGGCAACGATCAGGCGGTGCGAAGAGTTTAAGGTGCCCTTGTGCGTGAAGACCTTGCCGCAACCTCTGAACGCATTGACTAGGCAGTCCTTCGAGATCTTGTTCGGTACCGAGAACGACACGAACTTGCGGCGTTCCGTTTGCACCGCCTTCCACTGCCGCTCACGCTCGACACATTCCTCGGGTGTGTCAGCTTCAGAAGCCTTGGCCAGGCTTTGGAGCAAACTCGGAGCAGGAGCCGCAGATGTGGCACCAACGGACTTCGTGCTGTTGTCGAACTTGTCGACAATGATCTTCATCTGAGTGATAAGCGCACATGGCTCCTCGTGCTCCGTGTCATCCGAGCTTCCAAGCTGTGCAGCTGTCAATGCCTTTGCAAGGCCATCTTCACTCGAAGCCAGCATGCAGCAATCCTTGTAGTACTTCCCCGACATCAGCTCCAGCAGCAAATCCAAAAGCATGCCAATGGCTTTGTTGAAACCCTCTTTAACAGCTCCAATCTTGGACTGCGGAACAGGGCGCTCCACGTCCTCTGGGTCCTCGCCGTCCATGTCGTCCTCTCCAGCAGCCCCTTGATCAGCATCAGCATGGCAGAGATATTTCTCCCAACATGTGGAAGGGCAACGGAGTTCAGCCAAAATCCCTGTCAGCTTAACCTTGTCCGGCTCAGGCAACTTGTTCGCCAGCTTTGCTGCATAATCGAAGACCTCTGTCAGTGTTCAAGCTGCCGATGACTTGCAACACTCCGCAAAAAAAAAAAATACACACGCTAGTCAGAATAGTTACAATGCCTGCACCACCAGCATGCGCGACAACCAAAAGCCAGCATCGCCTGTCTTCCGGTCTCGATCCAGAAACTTCTCGGTGCATTTAGCTGGCGTGACCATGTTCATGCGCAGGGCCAGCGTCAAGGAGTCGATCATCCAGGCCGTCAGGTCTACAGCGTTTCTGGTAGCAGATGCGAGCTTGTTGGTCAGCGATAACAGCTTGCTCAACTTCGAGTACTGACTGCTCAAGATGCCCCGCCCAAATTCCAGCTCCAATCTCCGGGCAGCCTTCTCCACGGGACCGGATGGACCCCGCAGCACTGCAACAGCTGCTGTGGCAGCCTGGTGTACGGCCTTGTTGTACAAGGTGTTGTTGTACCTCAAGTTCTGTTCCTCACCATCCTGGACTTTTTCGACCTTGAGCAGCTGGACAGTCTTTGCAAATGTCCAAAAGGTGTCGGACAGGCCAGGGTGCCCGAGTGCCTTGACTTTCTCTGAAGCAAGATTGCGACTCTTCGCAATCTCCCCTGCGCTGGAACACAAGCGAACCTGTATCGTGACAGTGCAGCCACACTCCCACAAAATCTCCAAAACTGCTTTGTCCTGCCAAGTGCAAGCACACATCAGTCAGATGAATCAATAACATGTCATGTCATGTGAACACAAGCAGCAACTGTCCTGGGAGACTAGGGCTTTTAAGACGGCCAAGTACCAAGCCCACAACACAAACACGCCGCTAGCAAGATGCAACGAGCTGTTGAACTCTTCGTGAATCACGTCAGATGCTGACTCCGTGAGGACAATCATCTCACAAGGCCACGTCAGCCGGTTTCGTGACGTTTTTTTTTTTTTCTTGGCAGCTTCACGCGATACAACTGTGCTGAAAGCAACTTTCTTGGAGAAGAAAGCGTCTTCGAAAGTTTGGAGATCCTGCCAGCACACATCCTCAGACGCACTGGCAAAAGCTTCGGTGGCCAGCCACAGCGCGAGGCCACTGGCTTCGTAAAGTCCAGATGATGTCAGGGACGCTTGGCAGTCATCTTTGCTCCACACAGCCTGACAAACGACAACGGTCAAACAATAATAAATGACATTGATCGACATGCGCCCGCCTTGTATCCGGTCAAATCCTCGGGCAGGCACGGCATGCAGCACTGTTAGCCGCGAGACGGGACACGGTATCAAGAACTCAGCGAAGGGCCCATGGCACGATGTTTGCCAGGGCTTCTTGAGCACTGGCCTGCTTCACATGGCGTGCCACACATCATCATCACACACGTCATACTGCTCCAAAAATGCTGAGCTCAGAACGGTTGGGTCGGTGGGCAAATCCGGCACTTTTGCCATTGAGCGCGAGTACAGAAGCCTGGGAACCTGGGAGCCGAGTAGCCTTCCACGGAACCGTTTGGAGTCTTGCGGTGCAGCGCAAGGCAATAAGACTGCTGAAGTGCAGGACATGCTGCAAACAAACACAAACTGACGTCGACAGCGGTCCTTTGTAGTCGTGGGCCCTGCCACAGTTTGTCGACGAGCGGCTTGAGCTTTACATGTTCATTTAAATCAAGTTGGCAGCAAAGTAAGGAAGCATCAAAATCCTACTATGCTGCTGATGAGTCATCTAAACATGACGACACCAAGCCGGCGCCACATGGACCTTGGAGCCTGGGAGCCTAGGAGCCTGGGAGACGCCTCAGCTGGGCATCAACAGCAGCGAGGGCATCCTGGTCGCGGCGGAGCTGCTTGTTGGAGACGTCCACCTGTTCCTTCAAGCGCCGTTTGTGCTCCACCAGCTTGGAGCGCTGAGCCTCAAGGAGCATGTCTGAGTGCTTCCTGGGGTTGCTCATGCTCACGATGACCATCTCGATCCCGGACCTGCGTACCTTCAAGTTGCCGGTGCGGATCCGCTCTGCCAGGTCATTGCCCTTGAGCATCCAGAAGTACCCCATCGGATGGAGAACCGGCGGTGACTGGTTGATGACGCCCTCGCAGCTGAACTCGAGCATGTCCATGTCGAGCTGCTTGAGGGCAAAAAAACCCAACGTGGCCGCTGCGTGCGTGGACGAAGAAACGGGAACAGGGATGCACCGGGATCCGGAAGGAACGGATCCCCCTGCGCAGCGAACACGTGGTTCCGGGCCAAGAAGTTCACGAGGGCAGATGTGTCCTCCTTGCTAATGTCGAAGCCGCCGC